ATTTGTTTATTTTAATTTTATTATATCAGAAATGCAAATAATAAAATTACTGACGATGGCTGGATAAAATTGTAATATCCCTAGACTTTTCCGGCGTGTGTAGATCTGTAAGGTCGCAGTGATTAATTCCCCTCGTAAACATTCTACATTCTACAAGTGCAAATATTTTTAGGCGTAGTATATTTCGATCCCTGAAAAGTGTTTATAAGGTTTTTTTCGCGAAATCTTTTTTTTTTCTAAATTTGGAATTTTTTAAAAAAAATTGGAAATTTTTAGTTAAAAGACATAATATATTCATAATATGGCAACATAGGTAGTAGATTAAATAAATTTACAAGAGAAAACAAAACAGAAAAGATCCAGTGGTTTTCAAAATTTAGCCAAAAATCAAATTTGTTGGAAATTTTCAAAGTAAAATATATCGCTTATTTTGGACTTATTTGAAAAACGGTAAAGAAAAAATATGTTTCTTTTATCGAGATCTACCAGCCCTGAAAATATTTGCATTTATTTAAGACTCACCTTGTATACTGGGTGCGTCTCAAAAATAGCTCACCCCTATAATTGTTTTATTTTTTCAGTTAAAATAACGAGATTTGGTATGTTTGTAGCATTTTCACGTTTGTAGCATGGCACGATTTGAGCATTTTCTATATGACATAAATTAGGATTGATTGACGTATTCAATTGTTTTTGGTCACTTCCGGTTTCAACGGAAATGACTTCAACTTTTGATTTTTAAATGGCACCCTCGGCATTTTTTTACTTTATTCGATAGAAAATAACACTCTGAATAGAATGATATATATGTCAACTTTTGACATTTTAGTATATGGTTTATTTGAAATTATAACTACGCGGAGCCACCCTCGTTCCATTTGAAAAAATTGAGATATGATTAAAAATACGATTTGAGCATTTTCTAACTGGCCAGGACAAGACTCTAAAAACATTAGACGATCAAATCTATTTTTCCAAGGCTCCTTGATTAAAAACTGGTGTTTTTAACATACTCTTGGCACTCTAGATTGAATTTTAAAATACAATTTTTTATTAAGCGAGAATGTCAAAAGTTGGCATATGATATGTCATTCTATTCAGAATCTCATTTTCTATCGAATAAATTAAAAAATACGGAGGGTGCCATTTAAAAAACAAAAGTTGTAGTCATTTCCGGTGAAACTGGAAGTGACCAAAATTAATTAAATACGTCAATAAATCCTAATTTATGTCATATACTAACAAACCAAATCTCGTTTTTTTTTATCTGAAAGAATAAAAAAGTTATAGGGGGTGAGTCACTTTTGAGACGCACCCGGTATATGTGCGTCGGCGGACTCCACTTCTACACCCAATATCTCCGAAACGAAGGACATTTTTTAGGACATAAATTTATACGAACTTTCTTGCTTATTTTTATCTGCAGAATATGTTGCCGAAGTTTTCCAAATACAATTTGGACCACCCTGTATACAGAGAGATTAAGCTTTTTGGTTTTACCTTCTAGGTATTATTATATGTATTATCAGATAGTAAATGTTAATTTGAAGTTTGGCTTCATATAATGTCATTTTAACAAAATGTCAACGGTTTATAATGGTCTTGAATCATGTCTTGAATAGTGGTATTTAGACATTTCAAATCTTTTTTTTTTCTTTCTTCTTTGTGTTTTTTGTGCTTCTAAAGAAGGGAGGAGATATACCTCCTGAAACGTTAAGCACATATTTTGTCGGTTAGACAAATAATTGGTTTTACTCTTAGATTAAGATTGTTACTGTATAATACTACTGATAAATTAGTCCCCGTTTGAATTCAACGCAATGGTGTATATGTTACGCACAATACTCGAATTCGGGTAATGCCCGGAAAAAATGCACAGAACTAGGTTTGAGCAAAAAATATTTTCCAAACCCGAAATTGTACATTTAAACGGGTATTGCGCATTACAAAATAGCAAAAACTAGTATTACATATACAATTTTTTTATTTTAGTGGCAAAAAACAGAATTCTTTTCAAGAAATAAAGCCGTCACAAATGTATAGACATTATTTAACTTATTTTTATTTCTAAACTCCGTATATACCTACGTATATACTACTACCTATATTAGTTTTATGTCCACGGAATATTATAACACCTTGTTATATCAACTGGATTAACCGAAAATATTTTAGAACTGACATTAGAAGAATGTTTCGATAAATACGAACGAGGCATATACCCTCATCCATCGGATTGTACTAAATTTCTGTCATGTGCCACCACTGACCCCATCGATTGTCCAGCTGGTCTTCATTTTAATCCAACATCTTCGGTATGTGATTGGCCAGCGGATGCCGGTTGTATGAAAGTGACCACGCCCAATCCAGATCAAACTCCGGAACCACCAGAAAGTAAGTGAACATATATTTTTTTAGTAACTAAAGAATACAAGGACCAATAACACCGGAAACCAAATTGTTACCAGTTGACACCAAACAGTGCCTTGCCGAAGGGTTAATATAAAAAATGCAGAATTAAATAAAAACTGCAATTTTAATTATTTCACAAATATTTTTTTGGAAATTATTATTCGCTGGTTTTTAATTTAATTTTCTACATGTCTGCCATTCATAAGTAAATGGATTATTCAGTTTTTAGCTCACAAAATTAGTTAAATGGAACCAGGATGGTTACTTATTTAGTTATGAATAATCTGTATTTATTTATATTTTTGAAAAAAGTTTTGCCTACGCTTATGGTGGATGCTGCTTTTTTAGAAAGTGTTATGCTAATTATTGTTTAAAAAGAACAAAAAAAATGCAAAAATGTCAAAAGTTGACATATTATATGTCATTCTATTAGAGTGCCAATTTCTATGGAATAAAGTAGAAAAATACCGGGGTATCATTTAAAAATTTTAAAAAGTTGTAGTCATTTCCGATAAAACAGGAAGTATTCAAAAACAATTGAATACGTCAATCAATTCTAATTTATGTCATACACTACATACCAAATCTCGTTTTTTTTATCTGAAATAATAAAAAAGTTGTAGAGGTGAGCCATAAACATTTTCTATAATTCAGTAATATTTTTCCGTTTATTACAAACTTTTTCGTAAACACTAAATACAAGTAAAATAAACAGAAATAATGTATTTTAAACAAAAATTAGGTACAGAAAGTCCAAAACCACCTACTCCAAAAGATTCCACCGATGCACCACCATCCGAACCCAGCGAACCAAAGAACACTTCAAGTCCACCCGAGGATGCA